TTTTTGGGGGAGAAGGCTTCGCATTCACCAGAATCTCGAAGGCAGCCCTAACCCTAAGACAGGCAATTCTTTCACTGGGACTTAGCAGAAAAGCAACACAAATCCCTAGCTGCTCCAGTGCGCAGAACAGTTCAAGGTAGCCTAATTATATTCAAAACAGGAAGGAAGTGACTCAAGTCTCTGCAGATCAGGCCCTCAGACAACAACTAAAACAATCCAGGCGAAGACAAAGCGTTCTGAAATGCACAAGGCACTGCAAACTGGCAGGCAGGAGGCAGGGCGGCAGCGAGAAGCCCGCTCCTGCGCTCCGTGGCCTCTACGAGGAGCCACGCACCCCGAGAGGAAGTCTGAAGCTAGATACATGTGCACCGAGCCTGTCACGCAAAGTTCAACTGAAAACCGGCAAGGAAATAAGGAAGTGGAACACACAGCAACGTTAGACAAAACAAAGGAGTTTGTACAACCCACACTGAGGGGGTTTATAAAACACATCTTTTTCAACTCCGCCATCTCCTCTCTATCTGCCAAGGAAACCGGTTACCACCACCTGCACGGCACCGGCGGTGCAGTAGCCACATAAGGTTTGAGTTATCACAGCGCTATTTAAAATCAGTCTCTGCTTCCAAACGGCAAGATGCAGATCAGAACAAAATGTGCGATGATTTCATCACGATTACTCGTTGGGCGCGACTGCCAAAGAAGCTACCTTACCTTCGGATTCCTGCAGACCCAAAGCTGATCAATGCCAGCGCCAGCACCAGCGACCTACTCGGTCCCGAGTGCTAGGACGGATCTGGTTTCTAGACCTGCATATTATGCCCGGGAAGAATGGTTTCGGCATCCCAGCGCCCCATACGCCTCTACTGTGCTTTTCTGTTTGTGTAATTAATGCACGACTTAGAAATTCGGAGACTTTAGAAGGGGGGAGGGGGCTGAGATGAGTGGATCCTCACTGAGCTAACCACTGAGCTTTACTCCCAATTATCCACATCGGAAAAATGAGGAAACCGCGGGTTGGCCAAGTGAAGTCACCAGCCCAAGGTCACCCCAACAGGCAAAACCCAGCCGAAACCGAGGCCGTCTGGACCCCCAAACTTGAGACAGGCACGGCCCCCCGCGTGCAGGCGGCAGGGGACGGGGCGGGGGGCAGCCAGACCCCGGCGTCCTGGGGCTGCGCCCTACGAGTGGCGGCCGCGGTGTCCGCGGCGCGGAAGGCACCCACCCGAGCCCCCCTGCCAGGTCTCCGGGAGCGGCGCCCACCCTGGCCAGGGCCCCCCTCGCGGGGCGGGGGTCCCGGCAGGGCTGACACCTGCAGCTGCCGCTCCATTTTACTTCTGTAATCGGCCTTCCTGTGCATTGCCCAAGCCCCTTCCTGTTCGCAGGGCGGCCCCGGCCCCCGCCGCCTCCCTGGCCCGCCTGGGACGGAGGGGACGCCAGCGAAGGGCAGGACGCGAGGGCGGCGGCCCCCGGCCCGCCCGGCTCTGACAGGCCCGGGACGGGTCCCACTCCAAAGCTGCCCCCGGACTCCCCTTCCCTCCACTGCGACCCCGGCTGCGGGGCTCAGCCGCGGGAACGCGCCAGACACGAGGGGGCGGCCCCGGGGTAGGGGTCCGGGCCAGGAGAGCGGCCAGGAGCGGGCCCGGCCAGCGCGACTCACCCGGCCCGCTGCAGTCAGCGCACACCTCGCTGCTCCGGAGCCGCTTCGACATGGCTCTCGCCTCCACCTGCCGGGAACCAGGGGGCCCCAGGAGCGCGAAGACGGCGGCGGCTGCGCTTCCGCTCTAACGGGTCCCCACGGCGGCGCTGGCGGCGGCGCCTCTCCCCTCAGCGCCTCACAGCCACGGCGCAGCGCGCACGCGCGGGGCGGTGCCCTTTGGCGACTGGCAGATCATGTGACCGGAAAGGGCAAAGCTCCTTTGCCGCCATCTTGCGTGAGGGCAGGTGCCTACCACAGCATCCTCTGTCCCAGCGCTTAGATCTTCCTTTCTAGAAATTCGCAGGGTAGAGCACCGATTAATAGCAGGGGAGGCAGCCCAGTCTCGTAACCCGAACGTTGGGGCCACAACCTCCTCGAGGCGATCAGTGGCTGTCAAGTTCATTCGTCTGTCCTTTATTCAAATAAAATAGGAATAACTAATTTCACCAAGAATTAGATGTTTATTGAGCACCTACTATGTTATACACTTTATTTCCAGCGCTGAAGAAACATCCGCGAGGAAAAGAGGACAAGATTTCCTGCCTTTCTAGAGCTTACATTGTGCTGGAGTAGATATACGATAAAATAAGTCAGTTAAAGCTGTATTAAGGATTCCTTCCTTAGACTGCGGTTCTTTAAAATGGAGATAGTTGGGGCCGCGTTGTGGCTTAGTGGGCAAAGCCTCCGCGCTGGCATCCCATATCGGCGCTGGTTAATGGTCCAGCTGCTCCACTTCCGATTCAGTTCCCTGCTCAAGTCCTTGGGCCCCTGCACTCAAGTGGGAGGCCTGGAAGAAGCTCTGGCTTCTGGGTTTGGACTGGCCTAGCTCTGGCTGTTGTGGCCATTTGGAGTATGAACCAGCGTATGGAAGATCTCTCTGCCTCTGTAACTCTTCCAAATAAATAAATCTTTAAAAAAATGACAATAAAATGGAGATGGTTGTCTACCTCTAGTCCATGACTTGGTTTTTGCTTTATTTATTGATTGAGAAAGAGAAGGCACTCAAGAGAGCTCCCCCCATCTGTGAGTTCACTCCCCAGATGCCTGCAAGGGTCGGGGTTGGGAGCTGGGAGCCCCGTCCAGGTCTCCTACAAGGGTGAGAGGGACCCAGTTACTTCCGCCATAGCTGCTGCTTCCCAGGGTCCCTGTTAGTGGGAAGCAGGGGTCAGGAACCCGAAGTGGTTATCAATCCCAGGTACTGTGATGTGGATGCAGCCGTTTTAATCACTGTGCCAAGCACCTTCCCGATTTATTTTTGCCTGGCCTCTGCCTGGTGAATTTTATATTACATTTGTAAAACATTGCAAGAAGAAAAGGGAGAAGAGGGAGAGGGAGAGGAAGAGGGAAAAGACGGATACACCATAAAAATTATATGTGACTAGCAAAGCTAACTATTTACTATCTGGCTAAGAACAGATCCCGTAAGTTATGGGAAATGTGGTATGCCTACTCCATAATAAACCCTCAGTAAGTGATAGCATTATTATTGATAGTTTCTGATTACTGCTTTTCTCTATATAGTTGTAATTTGAGACTAAGAATAGCTTACGGAGAATATAGGATGCTGTAAAATAAACACAATGAAATGAAAATCAGTGTGAAAGAAAAGGGATTTGATAACACTAATGAATAGTTCTTGTATTTGTTACACGTGAACACAGCTGTGGTCTCTATTGGGTGTGTGCTGTAGGCCACGTATTACAAGGGGGCTACAGAGAGCTAACTGAAATTGGAATTAAAAGATACGTTTACTAGGGTGCAAAAATCTATCCAGGCGTAGCTTTTTCCTAGTATGCATTTTCCCACGAGCTTCTTGAAGACCCTCTTCTATTTTTATTTTTTTTTTTATTTTTATTTTTTTATTTATTTTTTTTTTTTTGACAGGCAGAGTGGACAGTGAGAGAGAGAGAGACAGAGAGAAAGGTCTTCCTTTTGCCGTTGGTTCACCCTCCAATGGCCGCCGCGGCCGGCGCGCTGCGGCCGGCGCAGCGCGCTGATCCGATGGCAGGAGCCAGGAGCCAGGTGCTTTTCCTGGTCTCCCATGGGGTGCAGGGCCCAAGCACCTGGGCCATCCTCCACTGCACTCCCTGGCCACAGCAGAGGGCTGGCCTGGAAGAGGGGCAGCCGGGACAGAATCCGGCGCCCCGACCGGGACTAGAACCCGGTGTGCCGGCGCCGCTAGGCGGAGGATTAGCCTAGTGAGCCGCGGCGCCGGCAAGACCCTCTTCTATGCATGGGTTTCAAAAAGTTTTTGCACCAAGACAAACTTATCTTCTAGGCCCATTTTTCTCCACACACTTTTTTTGTAGTACTCTCACGTTAGTTTGAAGCATTGTCGGTAAGCAAAAACTAAGGCGGTCCCTGCCGTTGTGGGGTTTTCAGAGTAATGAGAGAGGAAACTCGTTCAACAAACTTGGGATATGGAAGAGAGGTTGAGCGTCACAAGGCTTCTCCAAGGAGTATCCCGAGGAGCCCTGGGGTACATCTCTCCCGGGTACTAAGCCTCCAGGACGTGGGGTGCATCCCGTGATTCGCACACATTCCACAGCTAGGGCCTCCAGGGCCACCCTAATTTGCTCTGTCGTCAACTCACAAACCTCCAGGGCCGCCCAAGCGTGGAGAATGGATTGGGCCAGGATTCTCGCACAGCTGCCCTTGCAGACATCCGAGGCGCGCCGGCGGAGAAGGCAGGGGGAATGCTCTGAGGGCCAAGTGGCCTCCTAGCAGACAGCTGAGCCCAAGCAGCAACGGGGAGCTCCCGCTGCTGCGAGGCCACCTGGCTGCTGGCCGAGCCCAGGAAACGGACGTAGTGCCTGATGTTGCAACCCAAACGATGACTTCATATTTGCAAACTGTGGCCACCTTGGGGTATTACGCATTAGCCAGAATGCAGAATGCAAATGATAGTTGAACACTCTCATCCGTCGAATACACCATCACCGTTGATAGCTCGGAATGACAGCCCAGTGTGGAGCTTAGATGGAACAGCGGTTCTCCACCGAAGGCGGTTTTTCTCCCCCAGAAACCATTTGGCAATGTCTGGAGACGTCATATTCGGCGGGGTGCTGCCGGCATTGAGTGGGTGGAGAGGCTAGGGACGCTGCTCGCCAACCCTAACAGAGCACGGGGCAGCCCCCACGCAAGGAATTACCCATGCTCAAAATATGCTGAGGTTGAGAAATCCCAAGATAAGAACCGTCGCCTTACTCTGCAAATTTTTAAAGCCACTCCTCCAGGGTTTTAAGTTCCTCCTTTAACGTTGCGCGGTGTTGCCCGCTTCCAAAATGGCTTCTGACCCACCGTGGAAGGATCTGCCCTAGTCCAAAAAGGCTGAAAGGGAGTCAGGCGCCGGAATGGTTTGGTCCGGGCCCCTGGCGTCACCCCCTGACTGCAGAGCCAATGGACGAGGCCCAGTTGTGGACCGAACCATCCGGGGGTCACTGGAGCAGGGGGGAAACAGGCTGATGACGCTTAGACCGAGGTTTCCATATCGAGACCCGCGGCTCAGGGAGAGAACCTCAGCTCGGCCTCGTGGGTTCTAGTGTGTTTCCCGACGTGGAGTTGGGAGTGGGCGGCACTGGGCGGACCTCGGCCCCGATGCCTGGCCTCGTCCCCTCCCGCCGCGGCGTGCGGTGGTTCGCTCCCGGCACTTCCCTGTTTGGGGCAGTTCGGCCCGCAGAAGTCGGTTCGGGAGCTGTCAGTGCGGGCGGGATCGCGGCGGGGCGCGGGGTGGGCGCGTCCGACCCCGTCCCCTGCCTGGCCGGTGGCCTGGGACCTCCCGCGCACCCCGCACCCAGCCTGCTGGGCCTAGCGGCCGCGTACACCGCCTACTGCGCCCCTCGCTTCTTCGCTCTCTGGCCGCCGGGCGGGCGGGCGCCGGGGACCCCGCCGGGGCCGAGGCTTCCAGCGGGCGGCCAGGGCCCGGCTTCGGCTTCCTCGCCATGTCCTCGGCCCGAGACGTCAGCGACCACTTCCCCCTCCATCTTCTGGTCTGGAACAACGACTACCGGCAGCTGGAGAAGGAGCTGCGGGGCCAGGTGAGGGCGGGGCAGGGGGCTGGGGGCGGGGCGGGGGTCGTTTCGCCCTCCTGAGCCTGTTTCCAGCCTCGGGGCGCCGGGGACCCCGCGGACGGCTTCACGCTTGCGGTATTGGGGTAATCATGGTAAATAGTAGGGCATGTTTTGAGTGCTTGCTGTATGCCAGGCCCCGTGCCGATAGCTTTATGCCCATCATGCCTGCTAACCATTCCAGGAACGCGAGGAGGGAGCTGCTGTCATCCCAGAGCTTGACAGAGGCGGGAACTGGAGCTGTCAGGGGTCCCCTGCCTTCCCTGAGGCCGGCCCCAACTAAATAAAGACCAGGCGTGGATTCTGAGAGGTTATTCGGCCCCATTGCCTCCGAGTTGGAGAAACAACTCACGCCCCCCCCCCCCACAGCCCCCACCCCCACCCTTGTTGTCCCACTTGGGCTTGGTTGGCTTTGAAGTCCAGGTTCCGAGTCGCTCTTGTGACCTTGGGCCAGGCATTTTGCGGGCCCGCGTTAATCTGTGGGTTGAGGATGTTGGTTCGGATGGGGAGCAGACCTCGGATTGGACCCAGAGTCGGAGGGTGAGGACCAGGACTCGGCCTCCTTACCAAGCTCCCCAGGGAGGCTGATACCCAGGGAAGTTTGAGGATCCCCTGTGCTCTGGCTCCTTAAGGGCCTTTCTGTTCCGAAGCGCTTTGATTTGTTGCCATCTCTTTGAAGTAGTGGTTCTCTGTCAAAGTCGCCTCCCCCACCCCGGGGACTTCTGGCCATGTATGGAGACATTTTTGGTTGTGGGGAGTGGGTGCTACTGGCATGTGGTGGGTGAAGGCCAGGGATGCCACTCCAGCCTGTCACAATGCACAAGACCGCCACCCACAGTTATCTGGCCCCAGTGTGTAACTGCCCTGGAGTTACAAACTCACAGGCTGACAGTCAGGGGGAGAGTCTTCAGTTACCTCTGAAACCAGGTGTCGTTGTTCTTGCTGGTTTCATTCATTTTACCCAGCTCATGAAGTATCTCAGAATTGAACCCTGTGGTTGTCAGAAGTTACAGAAGAAAAGGAGCCTGGATTTTCCTTGGGTGGGCGAGCTCAGCGGTGCCCAGTTGGAGGGGCTCCTGCCAAGCGCCATATTTATTTGAACTTGGCTGGGCTCCCATTCAAAAGCTCTTTTGTCATTCAGAAGGGAATTCCAGACAGGTTAGGAGGCCCTGTTCTTAATGAGATGGCTCCTGCCACTGTTGCCACAGTTGAAGAGTTCAAGAGATAAAGACTCCATTGCCTGGAGCCAAAATGATTCACCTGCTGCTTGGATTCCTTCCCACTGTGTCCTGGGAACCCTCTGCCCTCCCGCTCAGCCATCTCTGAGCCCCGTCTAGATGCTGTGCAGATGACCAGCCCTGGTTGGCAGGGGCCTGGCTGTGTTCACACCTGCACTTCTGCAGCATCATGGCTGCCCGGCTTGTGCCATGTTGAGCAGAAGTACCAAGACAGTCCCCGCGTTAGAGCCAGGAACAGACAAGCTCATCGTCCTTGAGCCACAGGCTCCTTCAGGACCGGTGTCTGAAAGCAGTGGCCTTCCTGGTCGCTGGAGACCCCGGGGAAGACACGGTGTCTGCTAAGACCAGAACCACGTCCTGGTTTCCAGGCTGCAGCGCGGCGTAGCTGAATTGCCTCTGCCTCGCCAACTGTGAGAAGAACACTCACTGGAAGCTCTCTGCCCTTCACCTTGAAAAACACGAAGGTCGGGGCCGGCGCTGTGGCTCACTTGGTTAATCCTCCACCTGCGGGGCCGGCATCCCATTATGGGCGCCGGGTTCTAGTCCTGGTTGCCCCTCTTCCTGTCCAGCTCTCTGCTGTGGCCCGGGAAGGCAGTGGAGGATGGCCCAAGTGCTTGGCCCCTGCCCCTGCATGGGAGACTAGGAGGAAGCATCTGGCTCCTGGCTTCGGGTTGGTGTAGCTCTGGCCGTGGCGGCCATTTCGGGGGGTGAACCAACGGAGGGAGGACCTTTCTCTCTCTCACTGTCTAACTCTGTCGAATAAAAAAAAAAAAAAAAAAAACCCACGAAGGACACCTGTGGTTTGGGGGTTCGAGTCTTGCTGCTGGCTTTCCTGAAGTGCCTTTTAGGGCCTTGATGCCCTTGCCTGTCCAGGAGGCCCAGGAGCGACGGTCACGTGTGCTGATCATTCATCTTTGATTTCATGATTGGTTCTCACTGTGGCTCATTGCGTAGTACACCAGCCCCCTCCGGGGAAGAGCCCGTTGGGGGGCGCATTCAGCAGGAACTTCTTGAATGAGGATGCTTTGGACCACATGGCCATGGAAGGCACCTGTCTGGTGGGACGCTCGCGTGGGGCCTGTGTCCCGGCAGGCTCCGTATTTGGCTTCAGGCCCGCTTCCACCACCATGAAGCCCTGGAACTGTTTTCGAAGGAGGCACACCTTGCATTCTCATTTCTCGCCGGGCCCTGCAGGATTACGTAATCAGTTCAGGGTGAAGAAGGGAGCAGGGATGTCGCTGAACTACATGGCAGGAAACATCTGGTTGCTTTCGTATTTATCTGGATCCTCTGTGGATTGTGAAACAGCCACTCACCTCTGTGACCTGGAGGCCACTGGGTTTAATAGCCGGCGCTAATACCGCGTCTGAATGGTTTCGTCACCTGTGAAGTCTGGCAAGAGTAGAGCCCGTGGCCGCCCCGGCTCTGTGCCCAAGTGTTTTCCCCGGATCTTAGATGTCATCCCCACACCAACCCCCTGGGGTGGGCGCTGTTACAATTCCCATCTTACAGATGAGGAAACCAAGGCTCGCCAGGCAAGCCTGTGTTTGCAGTCCCTCTGCGCCGCGCCGCCTTCCAGTAAGAATGCCTCCGTTTGCCGGATTGTGGAGAATGTGCAAGATAATGGCTGTAAAGTGCAGGCACGTGGGGGGTGGGGGCAGCACCGCGTAGCAGTGGCTGCTGCTCTTAGCACAACAGCATTTATTAACCCGAGAATGGAGCCGCTTTCCCGTATGGCCCAGTTTGTCTACAAGGAACAGGGATTAGTTGCATAATTAACAAAAACCTCTTCTCAGGGGCAGGTGTTGTGGTGCAGTGGTCAAGTGTTTGCTTGGGATGCCAGGCCCACATCCTGTATCACGGGGCCCGGGATCCCACTCGGCCTCCACTTGTAACCCAGCTTCCTGCTGATCCTGGGAGACAGCAGACGATGGCCCAAGTACTTGTGTTCCTGTCACCCACGCGGAAGACCTGGTCAGAGTTCCTGGCTCTTGGCCTCATCCTGACCCAGCCTGAGCTGTTGCGGGCATTTGGGGTTGGAACCAGCGGATGGAAATCAATTTCTCTCCATCCCTCCCTCTCCCTCTGTCACTCTGCCTTTCAAACACATGCACCTTTAAATAAATATTCCTTTTTTTTTTTTTTTTTTGGACAGGCAGAGTTAGACAGTGAGAGAGAGAGAGAGAAAGGTTTTCTTTCTGTTGGTTCACCCCCCAGATGGCTGCTACAGTTGGCGCTGCGCCAATCTGAAGCCAGGAGCCAGGTGCTTTCCTCCTGGTCTCCCATGCAGGTTCAGGGCCCAAGCTTTTGGGCCATCTTCCACTGCCTTCCTGGGCCACAGCAGAGAGCTGGACTGGAAGAGGAGCAACCAGGACAGAGTCTGGCGCCCCAACCGGGACTAGAACCCCGGGGTGCCTGCGCCACAGGCGGAGGACTAGCCTAGTGAGCCGCGGCGCTGGCCTAAATAAATATTCCTATCACCCAGCAGTAAAAGCAGCTGTTTCCCTGAAGGCCTTGGTGTGCTGGTGAGTTTCTGCTGCTCCTGCCTTCATCTGTGCGTCACGGGAGAGAGACCCTACCCAAAGCAGGCCTGGCGGGAGGATTTGATTCTGTCCCAGGGACAGCAGCGTGAAGAGAGTCAAGTTTATCCAGAGGAAGGGGCTCAGCACATGTCTCTGAGTGTGTGAGAGCCAGCCCCAGCCCCGCGGCCAACAGCCAACTCTGAGCTGGTTTCAGGCCTTCCACACCGGCTCTGCAGAGGCACTTAATGAAGTGCCTCTTAATCCAGCAGCACTTTAATGATCGGCAGGGCCTTGAAGTTGGCTGCTGTCATTGAAACTGTCGGTGTTCTGGTTGTGTCATTGAGCCAGAGAGGTGTGTTGAGCCGCCTCGGCCTTCTTACCAAGGTGCGCAAAGGGAACGGATGCTGTGGGGACAGATCCCAAGGTGACTCTTTGCGCCTTAGCGCAGTGACAGCCCTGGGGCTGCGCTGCGTGGAGGGCGAGTCTGGCCACGGCCCCCACTGGGAAGCCAGCAGGGGAAAGCCTGGCACCCAGATGGCAGTGGTGCCTGAGTCTTCACCGAGAACCACCTTGGGGTCCTCCCTCGAGCCTGGGGCCGGCCACGCGAGGCCACGGGGCACTCGTTCAAGTTGGTGCCTGCTGGAGGCCTGCGGCGAGCCAGGGGCTGTGCAGCCAAGAAGACCGCAGCGCCTAGAGCCGACCCCCAGCAGGCTCCTCGTCGGCCACCAGGGACTCAGGCTGTCCTTAGGAACTTGGCGGGTGGATGCCTTTCCCAGCTGACTTGGGCAGGGGGCCAGAGATGCCCAGGAGCAGGGCAGTCGGCGAAGGGAGGGCCCCTTCCCGGAGGTCCCCATGTGTGTGGAGCGCCCCCTGCGTGCAGGTGCCCTGGCATAGAGGGCTCGGTGCAGGGAAGCTGGGTGTGGGATGTCGGGGCTGCCGCCTTTTCTCAGACCTCGGCTGGCGACTGTCTCAGAGGGCCGCGGGCTGGGGAACAAGGCGACTGCGCAGGAGAGCGAGCCGGGCACAGATCAGCGGACGGGATCCTGTGCCACACTCTCAGCCCTTGTCTCCTCGGGGGACACTGCTCGTTCAGAGGGGGTGGTGTTGTAATTCAGTGCGGCTCGGGGCTGAAGAAGCGGAGAGGAAGATCCCGGATGCGAATCCCAGTTAACTTTGGAAAGCCCTCGCTCTCGAACTCATAGCAGCCGTT